ACCTCTGCGGCTCTCTACCCCACCCCCCACCCCACCCCACCCGTCCTCCCACCCCATCCTCCCACCCAGCTCTGCACCCCACCCCACCCCACCCGTCCTCCCTCCCAGCCGCCTGTCCACCCCCCACCCCCGCCACCTCCATCCTTCCGTGCCTCCGCTCCCGGGCCGCGCCGCCCCTCTGCCTCCGGCGGGACCGGGCGCCCAGCGGTGCGGACCGGAGGCTGCAGACACCCGGGCGCTGTCTGCGGGGCTCCGGCTGCGGGGCTCCGGCTGCGGGGCTCCGGCTGCGGGGGCTCCGGCTGCGGGGGCCCCGGCTGCGGGGGCTCCGGCTGCGGGGCCTCCGGCTGCGGGGGCTCCGGCTGCGGGGGCTCCGGCTGCGGGGCTCCGGCTGCGGGGGCTCCGGCTGCGGGGCCTCCGGCTGCGGGGGCTCCGGCTGCGGGGCTCCGGCTGCGGGGGCTCCGGCTGCGGGGCTCCGGCTGCGGGGCGCCGGGAGGGAGGGCGCCGCGAGGTGTGGGCGGGGGTGGGGGGATCAGGCATGCGCAGTGGGGACGGTGGGCGGGGCCTGCTCCCGCAGCCCCGCCAGCCCCGCCCCTGGACTGCCAGTAGCTTGGGGCGCTGGGACCCACCCCTGGCCCCCAGGGGGACCCGCAAGCTCAGGGAAGCCAGCTCCTCCCTCCGCCCGCCTGGCCCAGAGGTCTGACCGTGCGCTCAGGAGTCAGCAGCTGGCGGTGCACCCCGTGGTCACCCAGGGACTGCAGCGGGGGTGGTGGTGGGGGGTGCAGAGTGGGCACAAGCCCTGTGCTGACCTGTCACCTCAGCAGGCGCTTGGCTGGCCTGGGAAATGGGCCTCCCCAGGAAGGCATTGAGGGGTTCAAGGGCTGGGGGCGGGGAGCAGGCACCACTCCCACTTTCAGGGAGGAGCCGGGAGGGACAGGCTTGGTGGGGGGACCTGGGGACCCCAGCACGCTGGCCACGAGTCTGGGACGGACAGATGTGGACAGGAAAGAGGGAAGGAGGCTGAGGGCGTGGCTCAGGCTCCTGGACCCCCCAGATGGGCTTGCAGGAAGGCTTGGGCCCCTTTAAGACACAGGCTCAGCTGGGATTACCCCCCTCAAGGCCTGAGTCCCCCCTGAGCTCACTGGCCGCCCACCCTCAGCGAGACCCAGGAACCTGGAGCTCTGCCTGCCGGGGGCGGGGCACCGAGCCCCAGACTGCACTGGGCATGGGAGCCATTTCCCAGAAGGCCTGGGCCTGGGAGGGCTGCGTGCCGGGTCCCACAGTGGCGGGAGGGCTGAGCAGAGCGAGGGACCCTCAGGCCCAGCAGACAGGAAAGCCGAGGCGCGGACAGGGCAGGGCTGGCCGAGGGGCTGTCTCTGGGACGCTGGCCCCCATGGGTGCAGGGAGAGCCAACCCCCGGGCCTAGAGGGGAGGCCAGAGCCCTGCCCCCCCCCCTGCAGCCCCCCAAGGGAGAGCGTCTCTGTGGTCCTGGGCCAGCACTTCTTCAACCTCACGACGGACGTGACCCAGGCGTTTCAAATTGAGAAGTACATCCCATACCCGCTGTACTCGGTGTTCAACCCCAGCGACCATGACCTTGGTGAGGCTCAGGCACGCGGGTGCCGCCAGGAGCGGGGCTGGGGGCACCCAGAGAATCCTGGGAGACCCTCCGATCTGTGATCCCAGGAGGGGGGGCACAGGGACAGTGGGGAGGGCCTGGGTCTCCCCGGCACAGCCTCTCGCCCGGCAGGGCGCCCGGCAGGGACCCCCTCCCCGGTGACCTCTGGCCTCTCCCGCCCAGTGCTGATCCGGCTGAGGAAGAAGGGGGACCGCTGTGCCGTCCGCTCCCAGTTTGTCCAGCCCATCTGCCTGCCGGAGCCCAGCAGCCCCTTCCCCGCCGGACACAAGTGCCAGATCGCCGGCTGGGGCCACCAGGACGAGAGTGCGTGCCGGGGGGCCGCGGGGCGGGAGCCCGGGAGCCTGGCCCGCCCTGACCTGTGTCCTGCCTGCAGACGTGAGCGGCTACTCCAGCTCCCTGCGGGAGGCGCTGGTGCCCCTGGTGGCCGACCACAAGTGCAGCAGCCCCGAGGTGTACGGGGCCGACATCAGCCCCAACATGCTGTGCGCCGGCTACTTCGACTGCAAGGCTGACGCCTGCCAGGTGAGCCCAGCTCAGACCTGCATACCCCGGGGGGGGGGGGGCCCGGCGGCAGGGCCAGCGGGGCCCAGGCAGACAGCACACGCTCCTCACTTCTGCCCCACCCCCTGCTGGAGGGCCCCAGTGGGGCAGAGTCCCTCCTCACACAGACGGGAGCCTGAGACCACCAAGCGGGGCAGCCCGGCTCCAACCGGGCAGGGCCGGCAGGGTGACCCCGAGGCCGGCCTCTTCCCCAGAGCTCTCACCGGGGCTCCATCAGCCAGCCCCGCAGCACGCCCACCAGGCAGGCCCTGTGTGCGCAGGCCGTCACTCTTCCCGGGTCACACCACTCGGATGTGGCCGGGGGGTGGGGGGGCCGGCCGGCTGACAGGAGCTCTGCCGCAGGGAGACTCGGGCGGCCCCCTGGTCTGTGAGAAGAACGGCGTGGCCTACCTGTACGGCATCATCAGCTGGGGCGACGGCTGCGGACGCCTGCACAAGCCCGGCGTCTACACCCGCGTGGCCAACTACGTGGGCTGGATCAACGACCGGATCCGGCCCCCCAAGCGGCCCGCAGATTCCCCCTGAGGCCCCGACCTGCTCCTCCTCGCCCTCCCTGCCCGCCGGCACCGGCTCACCCAGCCTGGCCGCGCCCCAGCCCGCCTCCCCTCTGTGCCGCGGCCCAGGCCGCACACACCTCCCGCGAGCCCCCTGCCTCCCGGCTGAGCGGGCTGTGGAGGAGCCGGCTCACAGCCGCTGAGGCTCGGGTCCGGGGCCCACCAGCTTTGCGCTCTGGAGGAGCCGTGCTGAGCCGGCGTGAGCGGCATCATCCGCAGGCCGCCCCAGGCTTGTTCCGGCCCCGGAGGCTGATGGCGCGGCGGGTCAGTGACTCTGCACCCTGGTTTGGGGGCCTCGGGGAGCCCGCAGGCGTCCGAGGGGAGCGGAGTGAGATGGAGGATCATTTCCCTGCTCCCTGCCTTTGGGGTCACCTCAGGGTTACAGGCCGCACCTTCTGACACCCCCATGCTGGCGTCTGGACCTCAGAATGGGACTGTCCGGAGAGAGGCCCTTTACAGAGTGACCAGTCCCCATGAGGCCAGGGTGGGCCCTGGCCCAGCACCGGTGTCCTTGTGAGGAAGGGAGGGGGGCGCAGACACACGGCCGTGTGAGTGCCTCCTGGGAAGGCAGCATCTGCAGCCAAGGAGCCTGGGCAGCGGCTCCCTCCCTGCGAGCATCGTCCGGGACCTGCCCGGACGGGGGCGCGTGTCCCTGGTGGAGCCCCCTCTGCGGTGCTGTGTTCCAGTGGCCGAGCACCCGGTGCACCCAGACCCCGCCAACGCCACTCCCCACACACGCACACGCCCCGGACAGGCATGGCCACTCGCCCCCCGCCCCGCCCCCCGCCCCGCCCCGGTCTGGAGGAGCCAGGGCTGCACCCGGGCCCCCACCATGACGCCTGTGAATAAACCGTCCGGCTTGTCCTGGCACGTTGGCCGCGAGGGCCCTGGCTGCTGGTCACACTATTTATTGTTTTTACGAGCTCTTTGCAGATTTGCTTCTGTTTCTGTTTAGGGTTGGACTTTTGTGTTTCCGTGTCAGACGGGCCTGTAAGCTCCTTCGGCCAGCCGGCCTCAGAGCGTGCGCTCGGAGCTCTCCCAGCCCAGCGGCCGGGCCGGCTCCGGGAGCTCTCCCAGCTGTCCTCGGCGTCTCTGAGGCCACTCATCCGCTGTGGGGCTCCGCCCACGTCGCCTGCTCACCCCCCTCCCCGCCCCAGCCCACTCCTGACGGCGGCACAAAGGGCTGGACTTCACAGTGACCGGGGGACACGCGGGCTGCAGCAGGAGCTGAGGCGCGGGGCCTGAGCCGGCCCAGCGTCCGCAGCGGGAGCCGCCCTGCGGCCCCGAGGGGACTCTGTCCCGCTGAGGCCCGTTTCCCGGCCGGCCCTCCGGGAGCAGGTGCAGGCGGGAGCTGGGCCGGGGCCAGCCCTCAAGAATGCAGGCACGTCCCTCCCGGCAGGATGACCAAGTGCAGGCGCCTGGGGGGCGGATGTGGCGGTGGCCTCAGTCCCCAGCCACCACCCGCCATGCCAGCTGTCCAGGGCAGCTGCGGGCAGACTGCTGGAGGCCATGCAGGCGATGCGGGCGGGCAGGGGCCAGAGCTTCCCCAGCCCTGCTCCACCTGGGCCCTGACCACATCCCAGGGCATCAGCTCAGGCTGGTGGCCCACAGGGACCTGCCGCCTCAGACCCCTGGGGCGGGGCCCTCTCAGACGCCAGCCACGCTCCCACCCGGTCCAGGCTCAGCCACTCGGCCGAGAGAATGAGCCAGACCTGTGGCTCTTGCTGCCCTGTGGGTTGCAGGGACCAGACACTGGCAGGAGCTGAACTGGGGTTTGCGCCCCAGGCCATGCGCTAGGACACCCCCCCTCCCGGGCCCCATCACCCCGCTGGGGAGTGGGGCGACCTCCGAGGGAGAGGAGAGGGGACTGAAGGGCGGGGCTGAGTCGCCCTAAAGTCAGTCTGCAGTCTGGGTGTTTGGGGACAGTCCTGGGCTACCGGAGGGCCGGGCGGGGGGCCAGGGCGGGGGGGGGGGCAGCTTCAGGCCGGGACGTGGGCAGGGGGGTGTCCGCTTTGCTTGGGGAGGGGAGCGCAGCGGCACCCGCCCGGAGCCTCCGACAGGCCGACAGGCCGAGCGCCCGCCCTGGGCCCCGCCCCGGCCGCCCCGCCCCGCCCCGGCCGCCCCGCCCCGCCCCGGCCGCCCCGCCCCGGCCGCCCCGCCCCGGCCGCCCCGCCCCGGCCGCCCCGCCCCGGCCGCCCCGCCCCGCCCCGCGCCGCCCCGCCCCGCCCCGGCCGCCCCGCCCCGCCCCGGCCGCCCCGCCCCGCCCCGCCCCGCGCCCCAGCTATTTTGAAAGTGACCCCGGGCGGCGGGCGGCGGCGGCGGCACCATGACAGAAGATGACCGAGGCGGCGCTGGTGGAGGGCCAGGTCAAGCTGCGGGACGGCAAGAAGGTGCGGCGCGCGGCGGGCGGGCGGGGGGCGGGCGCGGCGGCCGCTGACCCCTCTGTCCCCGCAGTGGAAGACTAGGTGGCTGGTGCTGCGCAAGCCGTCGCCCGTGGCAGGTGAGCGGGCGCCGGCCGGGCTGGGCGGGGTCCGGGTTAGCGGGGCGCCGGGCGCGGGGCGCCGGGAGCCGGGAGCCGGGAGCGGGCGGCGGCCTTGGCTGGGCGGCAGAGCGGGGCCAGCTCGCCCCAAATGCCCGAAATAGCCGGCGGCGCCGGGTGAGGCTGTAACCGGAGAGCGCGCGGCCTCGGCTCTGCCTCCTCCCGGAGCCGGACCCACCGCGGCCGGTGCGGGCCGAGCCGCCGCCTCGGACCCCAAGGCGCCGGCAGGCGGGGACCCCTTTAAGGCCTGCGGGGGCGGAGGGGGTGCGCATGGGGGAGCCGGCTACCCGTCCCCAGCCCACCGGGGCCAGAAAATTAGGATCTAGCAGAGGCCGGAGCCCATGGGTGGCCTGGCCTGCCCACCTGCCCGCTTTCCCGCCTTCCCGCCTCCTTCCCGCCTCCCCACCTGCCCAGGTAGAGCAGGGCCGGGCTGCGGGCAGGAGCAGGGTGCTTCTGAAATGGTCCCCTGGTGCGGGAGGGGGGGCACGGCCCTCCTGGAGGAGAGAATGGCCCACCAGGGGCACCCCCTCAGGGGCTCCCCCCCAGGCACAGCCCCTAGAGGCACCCCCCAGGCGCCGCCCTGAGCCTGAAGCTGGGCATCCTCCTCTGGGCGGTGGCTGGGCGGTGGGAGGGCCCCGGCTGCAGCTGCTGGGGAGACAGGTGCCCGGAGCCGCCGGGCCGGGCTGAGTGGGACGCTGGGGGAAGGCTGGCCGCAGCCTCCGGGAGCCGCTGCCTGTGCTTCCCGGACGGGTGGTGCCCCTGCTCTCCCGTCCCCTCCTCCGCCCTCCGCAGAGCCCGCTCCGGGCGCCTCGCTGATGCAGCCCCAGGCAAGACTCACTCCCTCCCCGCTGGGCCTCGGCTGCCCCCCGGGCCTGGCTCCCCGGCGTGGGGGTGGGGGGCTCCCCGCCTCTCATGCCGGCCCTGTGCCTGGTGCCCCAGGGCAGCCGGGGAGGGCGCGGGGCTGGAGGGCCCAGCCAGGCGCGGGCAGGGCGGGGACAGGCCCTGTGCGGGTGCAGGGCTCCGGCCAGCTGTGGTGAGCTGGCCTGTGCTGACCTGGGGTCCCCCGAAGAGCCGCCCTGGGGTTGGGGGGGTGGTGATTTCAGTCGGGGTGGCCTTCCTGCCAGTATCAGCTGCGAGTGAGCTCGGGTCTGGGGGGCCGGGGGCGTGTACGGGGCCCCCAGAGTCAGACTCAAGGAGCAGCCACGGGGAGAGCGGCAGCACCTGAGGGTGGGCACTCAGGCCTCGCGGGGCGGGGTCTGCCCCTCTGGGTGGCGCCCACCTGCCGGGTGAGGACTGCAGGCGCCTTAGACCAAGGCCGAGGCCCCACCATGTGCCGGTGCTGGGTGCGACCCATCGGGCCCCTCCCTGCCCGCCCTGAGCACCAGCTCCCCAGGGCTCGGGTGCGGGGAGCAGGTTCCATCCGGACTTCGCAGCTGAAGCCCCAGATCCTGGTGAGGCCACAGGGGAGCCTGGGAAGGAGGGGACCGCCCTGCCCTCATGTCTCACGGCGGCAGCAGGGTGCATGGGGCGGAGGGCACCGGGTCGGGTGCCAGGTGAGGCGGGCAGGCCTAGCGTACAGACCTGGTGGGCCTTCCCACAGGGCCTGACGCTTCTCGGCGTGTCCTGGCCTCGCCTCTGTCCGGGCAGGGGTGCGTGCCTGGCCCCTCTGGGCCCGGCCCACATGGGTGGCTCGCAGCGTCTCCCCTCCTCCAGGCTGAGGCTCAGGATGGTGTGGGGGGTGTCCCATGCGGCCGGAGCCTGGGGATGAGGCGCCCAGAGGCTCTGGGTCCCTCTCTGCCTCGCCCTGTGCGTACCCCGAGGCGCCCAGAGGCTCTGGGTCCCTCTCTGCCTCGTCCAGTGCGTACCCCGGGGGCTGCGTCCAGAGGCTCTGGGTCCCTCTCTGCCTCGCCCAGTGCGTACCCCGGGGGCTGCGTCCAGAGGCTCTGGGCCCCTCTCTGCCTCGTCCAGTGCGTACCCCGAGGCGCCCAGAGGCTCTGGGTCCCTCTCTGCCTCGCCCTGTGCGTACCCCGGGGGCTGCGTCCAGAGGCTCTGGGCCCCTCTCTGCCTCGTCCAGTGCGTACCCCGAGGCGCCCAGAGGCTCTGGGTCCCTCTCTGCCTCGTCCAGTGCGTACCCCGGGGGCTGCGTCCAGAGGCTCTGGGCCCCTCTCTGCCTCGTCCAGTGCGTACCCCGAGGCGCCCAGAGGCTCTGGGTCCCTCTCTGCCTCGTCCAGTGCGTACCCCGGGGGCTGCGTCCAGAGGCTCTGGGCCCCTCTCTGCCTCGCCCTGTGCGTACCCCGAGGCGCCCAGAGGCTCTGGGTCCCTCTCTGCCTCGTCCAGTGCGTACCCCGAGGCGCCCAGAGGCTCTGGGTCCCTCTCTGCCTCGCCCTGTGCGTACCCCGGGGGCTGCGTCCAGAGGCTCTGGGCCCCTCTCTGCCTCGTCCAGTGCGTACCCCGAGGCGCCCAGAGGCTCTGGGTCCCTCTCTGCCTCGTCCAGTGCGTACCCCGGGGGCTGCGTCCAGAGGCTCTGGGCCCCTCTCTGCCTCGTCCAGTGCGTACCCCGGGGGCTGCGTCCAGAGGCTCTGGGCCCCTCTCTGCCTCGCCCAGTGCGTACCCCGGGGGCTGCGTCCAGCCCCGAAGCCTCCAGGAGGGACCGCGTCTGGCGCCGCAGGGCTAGGGCGTTATAGGCAGAGCCTGCCCCCGGCCCCGCTGCCCCCCAGCCCCCCAACCGCCCAGCCCCCCGGCCCCGCTGACCCCCAGCCCCTCGGCCCCGCTGCCCCCCAACCCCCCGGCCCCTCGGCCCCGCTAACCCCCCAGCCCCCCAGCCCCGCTGCCCCCCCAGCCCCCCGGCCCCGCTGCCCCCCAGCCCCCCGGCCCCCCGGCCCCACAGCCCCCTCTCGGCCCCACAGCCCCCTCCCCGGCCCCCCAGCCCCCGGCCCCACTGCCCCCCGGCCCCCGGCCCCGCGGCCCCACAGCCCCCCGGCCCCACAGCCCCCCGGCCCCCCAGTCCCCCGGCCCACTGCCCCCCGGCCCCCCAGTCCCCCGGCCCCACTGCCCCCCGGCCCCACAGTCCCCCGGCCCCGCGGCCCACAGCCCCCCGGTCCCGCGGCCCCACAGCCCCCAGCCCCCCAGCCCCCCCGGCCCCGCTGCCCCCCGGCCCCCCCAACCGCCCAGCCCCCCGGCCCCGCGGCCCCACAGCCCCCAGGCCCCGCTGCCCCACAGCCCCCCGGCCCCGCTGCCCCCCAGCCCCCCGGCCCGCTGCCCCCCAGCCCCCAACCCCCCAGCCCCCCGGCCCCACAGCCCCCCAGCCCCCCAACCCCCCAGCCCCCCGGCCCCACAGCCCCCCAGCCCCCCAACCCCCCAGCCCCCCGGCCCCTCGGCCCCGCAGCCCCACAGCCCCCCTGCCCCGCTGCCCCCCTGCCCCGCTGCCCCCCGGCCCCCCGGCCCCACAGCCCCCGGCCCCGCGGCCCCACAGCCCCCCGGCCCCTCGGCCCCCCAGCCCCCCGGCCCCGCTGCCCCCCGGCCCCGCTGCCCCCCGGCCCCCCGGCCCCGCTGCCCCACAGCCCCCCCAGCTCCCCGGCCCCGCTGCCCCCCAACCCCCCAGCCCCCCGGCCCTGCTGTCCCCCAGTCCCCCGGCCTCCTGGCCCCGCTGCCCCCCAGCCCCCCGGCCCCTCGGCCCCCGCTGCCCCACAGTCCCCCGGCCCCTCGGCCCCACAGCCCCCAGCCCCCAGCCCCCCGGCCCTGCAGCCCCCCGGCCCCGCTGCCCCCCAGCCCCCCGGCCCCGCTGCCCCCCGGCCCCGCTGCCCCCCGGCCCCTCGGCCCCGTTGCCCCACAGCCCCCCGGCCCCTCGGCCCCACAGCCCCCCAGCCCCCCGGCCCCTCGGCCCCGCTGCCCCCCCGGCCCCTCGGCCCCCCGGCCCCGCTGCCCCCCGGTCCCCCAGTCCCCCGGCCCCGCAGCCCCCCGGCCCCGCTGCCCCCCAGCCCCCCGGCCCTGCTGCCCTGTGCATTCCCAACCCCCAGCCCTCCGGCCCCACTGCCCCCAGCTCCCCAGCCCCCAGCTCGCGGCCCCGGCGGCTGCCCTGTCTTCCCGGTCAGCGCAGAGGTGGGCACCCAAGCAGCCCCCGCCCTCACAGGCAGCCTGGCCGGGGGAGACTGGACCTGCTGGGTGAGGGGCAGGGGGCCCCCTCCGCTCTCAGCAGCACCTGCACAGCTGTCTGGGGAGGGGGAGGGAGCGTCCCAGGGCCTCCCGAGTGTCAGCGCTGCGGGTGGTCCCGGCTGGTGGTGATGGGTGATGCGGAGGGCTCCTGGCCCGGGATGCTCTGTGCCCGATGGGGTGAGGCGTGGGTCCTGGCCAGGCAGCAGCCTGGACAGTGTGGGTGCAGCAGGGGCCCCTCGGCTCCCAAATGGCTCTGCTCACATGGGGGCTGCCTGCCCAGGCCCGGGCGCCCGGAGCCTGTGTGCCCCCAGGCCTGAGTGAGCCCGCACGCCCTCCATGCCCAGGGGCACAGCCTGAACCCGGGTCCTGCCTGCACCAGCTGGTGAACGGGCCTGCACGGCCCACCGTGCCTCCTGGCTACCACTGAAGACCTGCAGGCCAGCCCGGCCAGCGGTGCCCGAGCCCCGCCACTCCCACCCCCGCCTCACCCTCGGCAGATCCCCGGCTCAGAGCCGCTGCTCTGAGGACACGCCTCAAGGTCACCGTGACCTCGGGGCTCAGTGGGGCGGCTGCTCCGGCCTCTGTCCCGGCTCCGGCCGGCCTCGTCCGCGTGTGGCCCTCCGTCTCCAGCAGCCTCGGGCCTGGTCTTCGCTGCAGGCGCCCCCTTCCCCGCCCCTAAAGGCCTTTGCCTGCTCATGACTCCCCAGTTATTTTCACACTCAGCTGCTGGGGGCACGCCGGCCTATGGCCTCTGCTCACGTGTCCAGGAGGCACCCAGCTCGGGCCCCGCCTCACCTGGCCCAGCATCCTTCCCTCTTGCCTCCCTCCTCCGCCTCCAGGAGGGCCTGAGTGAGGCCCCGGAGCTGTCGCCGTGGAGACCAGGCGGCCCGGCAGCACCTCTCTCTGCGGTCACCGCACCCCCTCTCCACACGCGGCCCGGCCAGGCCCCGGCTCCACGGGTGCAGCTGCATTTGTGGCTCAGTGTGAGGCCCCCACCCCAGGCGGCTGCCGGCCTCACCGCTGGGTAACATCCTGATAAAAGCCTGACCTGGACCGCGCTTCCCCTCCCCCTCAGGCAGGCCCCGCCCTCTGAGCCTTTGCACTGGCTGTTCCTCCAGCACGATGCTGTTCCCTGTGGGCTGCCGGGCTGGCTCCTTCCGTCACGCAGAAGCCAAAGTCTGTTCTCTGACGCTGAGCCCAGGTGCACCGCCCTGGGAGCCTGTCCCTCCCCATCACTCCCTCCGTCTCCTCTGTCCCGTCAGTGCCTGGCTGCCCGTGTCCCCTGGTCGCCCTGGGCAGGAGGAGGGCAGCGGCGGGGGGCAGGAGGCGGGAGGCTGCAGGGGGGGTGCAGGAGGCGGGAGGCTGCGGGGGGGGGGCAGGAGGCGGGAGGCTGCGGGGGGGTAGGGGGGAGCAGGAGCGGGAGGCCGCGGGGGCTGAGAGGCCGCGGGGGGCGGGAGGAGGCCCCGGGGGGCGGGAAGCCGCAGAGGGCGGGAGGAGGGCAGAGGCGGGAGGAGGCCGCGGGGGGGGGGGGCGGGAGGAGGGCAGCGGCGGGGGGCGGGAGATGGGAGGCTGCGGGGGGGGGGCAGGAGGCGGGAGGAGGCCGCGGGGGCTGAGAGGCTGCGGGGGGGCGGGAGGCCGGGGGGCGGGAGGAGGCCGCGGGGGGCGGGAGGAGGCCTCGGGGGCGGGAGGAGGCCGTGGGGGGCGGGAGGAGGCCGCGGGGGCGGGAGGAGGCCGTGGGGGGCGGGAGGAGGCCGCGGGGGCGGGAGGCTGTGGGGGGCGGGAGGAGGCCGCGGGGGCGGGAGGAGGCCGTGGGGGGCGGGAGGAGGCTGCGGGGGCGGGAGGAGGCCGTGGGGGGCGGGAGGAGGCCGCGGGGGCGGGAGGAGGCCACAGGGGGCGGGAGGAGGCCGCGGGGGCGGGAGGCTACCAGGGGGGGCGGGAGGCCGCGGGGGGCCGGAGGTGGGAGTGGCCCAGGGGACCCTGAGGGACTTGCAGGGTCCTGACAGGGCGTTCCTTTGCCTTTCTCACCAGAGCACCAGTCCTCCCACAGCCCCTCCCTCAGGGCTGGGGCGGGCGGAGCCTGGGCAGGTCCGTGGTCAGCGCGCACCTTCCCTGTGATTAGGGGCCTGATGTGCTCCGTGCTCGCCGGTGGGGGCGATGCCTGGCGGGGAGGGTGCTCCTGTGCGCAGGCGGCCAGGTCAGGGCCTCGGCGCCCGGTGCGTGTGCCCATTTCTCAGATGGATAGAGAGGCTCCCAGCACTGAGGGGACCACGGGGGCCGGGGCTGCGCCTGCCGCCCTGGGCTCCCCTCGCCCACGAGCAGTCCTCCCCGTCTCCTGCTGGTCCGTGACCACCGCTCCCCCATTCGTCCCCCCGCCGGGCGGCACGCTGGGACACGTTCCCGGGACACGCCTGTCGTGGGGCCGCCGCTGCCTCTCTGGGAGAGAACTTGGGAGAGAACGTGCTGGAACCTCTGGTGGGTTCTGTTTTTTGCATTTTCCTGATGGAAGCATTCTAAGCACAGTGGGCAGGTATTAGACAGGAGGTGAGGCCCAGCACTGTCCCCACGTGGGTCTGTCAGCACCCGCCGCCTGCTGTCACCCACGGGCGGAGGTGCATGGCGGGATGGAGTCTGCGGGTGGGCGGTGGCCTCCATGTCGCTCAGGTCCCCTTGCTCAGGCCGGACCAGCAGGAGCCAGCCAGCACCGCTGCTCATTGGGGCAGGGGAGGGGCAGAAACAGGCAGGGGCAGGGCAGAGGCAGGGCAGAGGCAGAAACAGGCAGGGGCAGGGAAGAGGCAGGGGCAGGGCAGAGGCAGGGAGAGGCGGGGGTTGGCTCTGCCAGTCAAGGATCAAAGCGGCAGCGCCCTGCTCTGCTCCCCTCAGCGATGTCTCCCGCTTTCCTGCAGGATTGGGGGGGGGGGCGCCCACTTAACTGGGAATGAGGCACCCTAACCAAAGACAGAGCTAGGGGTGGGGGCTGCACGGTGGAGGTGCAGCCGCATTTGTGGCTCAGTGTGGAGGCCCCCCACCCCCAGGCAGCTGCCGACTTCATCGCTGGGGTAACATCCTGAACCCCAGCACACGGAGGCGCCATGGCTAGTGGCCGGCTCTGGGTCGGGGTCACCCTGGGCGGTCTGGCTGGCCCTGATGCCCCGCCCCGCCCGCAGACTGCCTGCTGATGCTGGCCTACAGGGACCGGGCGGAGCGCGCCAAGGGCCTGCGGGAGCGCAGCAGCCTGACGCTGGAGGACATCTGCGGCCTGGAGCCCGGCCTGGCCTACGAGGGCCTGGCCCACACGCTGGCCATCCTGTGCCTGTCACAGGCCATCATGCTGGGCTTCGACAGCCGCGAGGCCATGTGCGCCTGGGACGCCCGCATCCGCCACGCCCTGGGCGAGGGTGAGTGCCTGCCGGCCTGGGCGGCCGCCGTCCCGAGGCCCATGGCGGGGGGTGGGGAGGGGGTCCCTTGGGATGCCGCGCAGGCTGCTGCCGCTCTCCCTGGGGAGCCCTCTCCGAGGGGGTGAGTGAGCTCCGCCCCAGGGAGACCCCGAACTGGAGAGGGGAGGGCCCGCGTCTGAGCGCCATCGCCAGGCACCAAACATTCCCCCGTTTCCCCGTCTGTGAGGCGGGCTGCTTCCTGAGGGCTGTGGGCGGCAGGAATGGGCAGGGCAGCCACTCCCAGGGCTTGCCTGCCTTGAAGGCCAGGGAGCTGAGGGCACCCCCATGGCTGGTGCTGCCCTCCGCCTCCCCCTGCCCCCGCTGATGCCCACTCCCTGCCCGGCTCAGTGCACAGGTTCCCCGTGACGGTGGCGCCGGGCACCAAGCTGGAGAGCGGCCCTGCCACCCTGCACCTCTGCAATGACCTGCTGGTGGTGGCCAGGGACGTGCCCCCGGCCGTGGCGGGCCAGTGGAAGCTGTCGGACCTCCGGCGCTACGGGGCCGTGCCCAACGGCTTCATCCTGGAAGGCGGGACCCGCTGTGGCTACTGTGAGTGCGGCCCCGCCCCGTCACACCGCCCGGTCACACCGCCCGGTCACACGGCCCGGTCACACCCTCCCCCACCCCCCGTCACACCGCCCGGTCACACCGCCCCGTCACACCGCCCGGTCACACCGCCCCGTCACACCGCCCGGTCACACCGCCCCGTCACACCGCCCGGTCACACCGCCCCTTCACACCGCCCCGTCACACCGCCCCTTCACACCGCCCCGTCACACCGCCCCGTCACACCGCCCCGTCACACCGCCCCTTCACACCGCCCGGTCACACCGCCCCTTCACACCGCCCCTTCACACCGCCCCGTCACACCGCCCCTTCACACCGCCCCGTCACACCGCCCCGTCACACCGCCCGGTCACACCGCCCCTTCACACCGCCCCTTCACACCGCCCCTTCACACCGCCCCTTCACACCGCCCGGTCACACCGCCCCTTCACACCGCCCCGTCACACCGCCCCTTCACACCGCCCCTTCACACCGCCCCGTCACACCGCCCGGTCACACCGCCCGGTCACACCGCCCCGTCACACGGCCCGGTCACACCGCCCCTTCACACCGCCCCAGTCACACCGCCCGGTCACACCGCCCGGTCACACCGCCCCTTCACACCGCCCCGTCACACCGCCCCGTCACACCGCCCGGTCACACCGCCCCGTCACACCGCCCCGTCACACCGCCTGGTCACATCGCCCGGTCACACCGCCCGGTCATACTGCCGAGCTGGCGGCTGGGACGGGTGGGCGGCCTGGGCAGTGTCTCAGACGCCCTCGGTGCTGAGTGAGGGGGCCTGCACGGCGCTGCGGGTGGCATCGAGGCCTGGGGGTCAGGACAGCCATGTCCGGGGCCGCGGTGCGGGAGCTGAGGTTTAATGAAGAGGAAGACGGCGCGGGCCACGCGGAGAAGCGCTCACACACAGGGTCAGGGCGGCCAGGCCGCCCGGGGAGGGAGGGGGGCCGTCCGGAGGCCAGCGGGGGGCGGTATGGAGGGCGGCGGGGGCGGTATGGAGGGCGGCGGGGGGCGGTATGGAGGGCGGCGGGGGGCGGCGGGGGGCGGCGGGGGGCGGTATGGAGGGCGGGGGGGGGCGGTATGGGGGGCGGCGGGGGGCGGTCCGGAGGGCGGCGGGGGGCGGTATGGAGGGCGGGGGGGGGCGGCGGGGGGCGGCGGGGGGCGGTCCGGAGGGCGGCGGGGGGCGGTCCGGAGGGCGGCGGGGGGCGGCGGGGAGCGGCGGGGGGCGGCGGGGGGCGGGCCGGAGGCCAGCGGGGGGCGGTATGGAGGCCGGCGGGGGGCGGTATGGAGGGCGGGGGGGGGCGGTATGGAGGGCGGCGGGGGGCGGTCCGGAGGGCGGCGGGGGGCGGTCCGGAGGCCGGCGGGGGCGGTCCGGAGGGCGGCGGGGGGCGGGATGGAGGCCGGCGGGGGGCGGTATGGAGGCCGGCGGGGGGCGGTATGGAGGGCGGGGGGCGGTATGGAGGGCGGGGGGGGCGGTATGGAGGGCGGCGGGGGGCGGTATGGAGGGCGGCGGGGGGCGGTATGGAGGGCGGCGGGGGGCGGTATGGAGGGCGGCGGGGGGCGGTCCGGAGGGCGGGGGGGGGCGGTATGGAGGCCGGCGGGGGCGGTATGGAGGGCGGCGGGGGGCGGTCCGGAGGGCGGCGGGGGGCGGTCCGGAGGGCGGCGGAGGGCGTGAGGCCTGCTCACGGCCGGCACACCTGGGCCTCGGGGACACTGGCCTCCCATGGGGCTGTGTCAGTGTCCCTGCCGAGACTAGTGGGGTCTGGCCGGCATGGCTGGCGGGTGTGGCATGGCTCCGGGGGGTGTGGCCTTGGGGTGGCAACTGCTGCTGCTGGGGCCTGGAGCCCCTTCTCTCCCCGACCTGGGGCCCGTGCTCCCGGCCAGGGCCCAGGCTCCAGTCTGCGGGGAGCCGGGAGGCCCGGCCCAGCAGCCTGTGTGAGGTGGCCCCAGGCCTGGGTACAGATGGAGGCAGGGCCTGAGTGGTGCCAGCTGTGCCCACTGACGGGGCTTGTTCCCAGCAGCTGTGGGGGGAGGGGCTATAGATTCCTGGCCCCTTAACAAGGTGGTGATTGAAGGGGGCACCGGAGGGGCAACGGGCTGTGAGGAGGGGTGAGGTGGGGGTGCAGCTGGAGCCCCACCCCAGTGCCAGCCCGTCTGAGCCTGGGCCCCGCCCCCTCTACCGACAGAGCGTTGGAGGGATGGAGGGAGGGAGGGACAGAAGGATGAGGGATGGAGGGACGGAGGAAGGGAGGGATGGAGGGAGGGATGGAAGGACAGAAGGATGGAGGGACGTTGGTGAGCTGCGGCCAGGGGACAGGAACCTGTCAGGTCAGGCGCGGAGCTGGAGGCCGGCTCTGAGGCCGGCGCTTGTGGCGGGTGTTGCTCTCGCCTCCGACCTGAGGGCCTGGCTTGGGGAGAGGCGGTCATCCCGCCTGTGGCCACGGAGGAGCTGGCCGAGGTGTCCTGGCTGCACAGGAGCTGGCGCGGAGTACGAGGTGGCCCAGGGAACGCCCAGCCCTGGGGGCAAGCCGCCGCCCCGCACAGCCCCCTCCCAGGGCTCTGGGTGCTCATTCCGGGTCCGCACGCTGGGCCTGCGCAGATGCCCCCTGCAGGTGAGGGAACGGGCGTGCAGCCCACGCTTGCCGTCTGCGTGCGAGGGAGCTGCGGGCGCACAGGGCGGACGGGCGGGAGCAGCGAGGCCATGGCTCCGTTCCCTCCGCAGAGGCCGCCCGAGGGCCTCACCCTCCCTCCTGCTGAGCATTCCTGTCCTGCCAGGGGCTCTAGGCACGTGGCTTCTGCACACCCCCCAACCCTCACCCTCCCGTCCTCCCTCCCTGCTCCACGGGCTGGCTGCGCTGTGCCTAGTCGGGTGCGGGGGACTCGGCCTCCGGGCGCCCAGCCTCCCGCCCTCAGGCTGCTCCACGCCCAGGAGCACCCCTCCCGCATGGGAGCCCGCGGGCAGCAGGACGAGCTGTGCTCGGCCGCAGCGGGCGCTGGCAGAGGCTGGCAGACGCGGGGAATGCTTGCGGCTCCCCTCGTACTGTGGTTTTTTATAGTCGGGGGACTGGCTGTGCCCTGTGGCTGCCAGCTGCCGGGAGCTGGGATTAGACGCCTGGCCTGTGGTGGGCGCCATGGGCGGGCGGGCGGCTGGGCCTCGGGGGTCCCTGTGGGGGCCCGGCCAGCGCCCACTCCTGGGCCCTGTGGGCCTCCGCTTCCCGTCTCTGCAGCAGCAGGTCGCAGGCCGGGGCACTGCATCGACCCAGGGCCCTGACTCCGTGCCAGGCCCTCAGCGGGCGGCAAGTGGCACTGCCAGGGGCGGGGCTGCTCTTGGCGCCGGGACCTTTCTCTGGGCCGCGGGCATTCCTGAGCGCTGAGGCCACCACTCAGCACCCGTGACTGTGACCGACATCCCATTCACCGAGGGATTCATTCACCGGCCGCTCACCCCGCCTGCCCTCTGCCCTGTGCGCCTCCACAACAGAGCCCAGGCCCCCTGCCCCGGGCCCCCCTGCCCCAGGCCCCCTGCCCCCCTGCCCCGGGCCCCCCCTCTGCCCCGGGCGCCCCTGCCCCAGGCGCCCCTGCTCCGGGCCCCCTGCCCTGGGCCCCCCCTCTGCCCCAGGCCCCCTTCCCCGGGCCCCCTGCCCCGGGCCCCCCTGCCCCAGGCCCCCCCCTGCCCCGGGCCCCCCCCCTGCCCCAGGCCCCCCTGCCCCCGGGCCCCCTTCCCCGGGCCCCCCTGCCCCGGGCCCCCCTGCCCCAGGCCCCCCCCCTGCCCCGGGCCCAACCCCCGGCCCCAGGCCCCCCTGCCCCCGGGCCCCCTGCCCCGGGCCCCCCCTCTGCCCCAGGCCCCCTGCCCCGGGCCCCCCTGCCCCAGGCCCCCTGCCCCCCTGCCCCGGGCCCCCCCTCTGCCCCGGGCCCCCCCTCTGCCCCAGGCCCCCTTCCCCGGGCCCCCCTTCCCCGGGCGCCCCCCTGCTCCGGGCCCCCCTGCCCCGGACCCCCTGTCCCAGGCCCACCTGCCCCGGGCCCCCCCTGCCCCAGGCCCCCTGCCCCCGGCCCCCCTGCCCCGGGCGCCCCCTCTGCCCCGGGCCCCCCCTCTTCCCTGGGCGCCCCCCTGCCCCAGGCGCCCCCTCTGCCCTGGGCCCCCCCTTCCCCGGGTGCCCCTGCTCCGGGCCCCTCTGCCCCAGGACTCCCCTCTGCCCCAGGCCCCCTGCCCCCGGCCCCCCTGCCCCCTCTGCCCCAGGGCCCCCCTCTGCCCCAGGGCCCCCCTCTGCCCAGGGCCCCCCCTCTGCCCCGGGCGCCCCCCTCAGATGAACTCGGAGATGTGGGGGCTGCTGGGCTCCCCGTGCAGCCAGGACAGACACCTCAGCCAGCTCCTCCGTGGCCACAGGGAGACCCCCTCCACCCCCACCCATTGGGTCACGCAGGAAGGGGTGCGCGCAGGAGGGGGGTGCACACAGGAGGGGGTGCGCTGGTCCCAGGACGAGGGCGTTTGAAGGACGTGGGGCTGTGGAACTGGGACATCCCGGCGGGGGGGAGGGAGGAGGAGCGGTGGGGGGCAGAAGACGCTCCGGGCTCTGCTCAGGGGTCCGCCTCTGGCCGGCCGGGCTGACGGCTGTCCCCGCAGGGGCCGGCGTCTTCTTCCTGTCCTCCACGGAGGGGGAGCGGATCAGCTTCCTGTTCGACTGCATCGTGCGAGGCATCTCCCCGAGCAAGGGCCCCGCCGGGCTGCGGCCGCTGCTCCCAGGTGCGTGGGGAGCGGTCCCCGGGAGGGGTGCCCGGCCTCTGCCCTGCCCCCCGCCCCCAGGCCCAGGCCTCCTCCCCTGCGGGCTGGCGGCGTGGACAGCGGTGTCAGCCGGAGCCCGGCCGGGGGCTCCGGGGCCCGGAGGGCGCGGGGCCGGGCTGCAGGCGTGGGCCGCCCGGGGCTCCCTTCGCCGCCGTGGCCGCAGCGCCCTCTGCTGGCGCGGCCCTGCCCTGCGGCCCAGGCGGGTGCGGTGCGGGCCGCGGCGGCGGCTCCCAGGTCACCTCGGCGGCCTGGCGCGGGGGCGGCAACCGGGGCGCGGGGCTGGGCTTGGGTCCGGGGCGGGCAGGGCCGCTGCGGGGCCCTGGCGGGAGGCCTGCTGCCTCTTGTGGTTCCTCCGCCGCAGACGCGGGCGCCGGGGGAGCCGCCGCCGCGGAGGAGCGCGTGGCCCTGGAGGCGCTGGAGGCCCTGCAGCTGGAGAAGCGGCTCAGCCTGCTGTCCCACTGCGGCCGCCCGGGCAGCGGAGGTGGGCGCGCGGCGGGCCTCCGCCCGCTGGTCCCCTCGGTGCTCCCCACCCTTCACCCGTCCGTCCCCTCCTGCCCCGCACTGGGCGCCAGGGCGGAGGGGAGGCCGGGGCGGTTGGGGGGGCGGGGAGGTCCCGCTGCCAGCGCCGCGCCCCTCCCTCCGCGCAGGGGACGACCGCAGCCTGTCCAGCTCGTCCTCGGAGGCCAGCCACTCGGACGTCAGCGCCGGCAGCCGGCTGGCCGCGTGGCCGGAGCAGTCCTCGTCCTCCTCCGCCAGCGCCTCGCAGGAGGGCCCGGGGCTGGCGGCCCCCGCGCTCGGGGAGGCCGCGCCGGGCGCGCCCCGGCCGCCGCCCCGGCCCCCGCGGCCGCGGCAGCTGCAGGAGCTGGGCCGCCAGGGCTCCTCGGACAGCGGCATCGCCACGGGCAGCCACTCCTCCTACTCGGGCAGCTGCTCGTCGTGCGCGGGCAGCAGCCTGGACGTGTGGCGCGCGGGCGAGGAGCTGGGCTCGCAGCTCAGCCTGCCGCCCGGGGCCGAGCCGCGCCTGTGCGCCTGCGCGCCCGCCGCCGAGTACCAGGTGCCGGGCGCCCCGCGGCCGCACTACGACACGCCCCGCAGCCTGCGCCCCGCGCCCCGCGCCCCGGGCGGCCCCCCGCCCAGCCCGGCCCCCCGAGAGCCCTGGGAGGCGGGCGGCCTGCGCGCGGGGCCCCCGCCGGCTGTCTTCGCCCCGTGCGCGGCCTGCGGAGGACTCAAGGTAAAGCCCCCGCCCTGAGGCGGGCCGGCCGCCCGCACGTGCGGCCCGGGGGCGGGCGGGGGCGCCGGCACCGCGGGGACCCGCAGGACCGGGCGGCCCGCCTGGCGCTGCTGGACGTGCCTCTGGCCTGCGGGGCGAGGGGCGGGGCCCGCGGGGGATGGGGCGGGGAGGGGCGGGGCCTGGCCCTGCGGGGGCCCAGAGGCACCCCCCGCCCGTCCGCTGCTGCCCGGACAGCCGGAACCCCCCCGCTCTGCTCGGCCGGGTCCCTCCCGGTCGCGCAGGCACCGCCTTGGTCAAGTCCCTCCGTGGCAGCTCCAGTCACACGTCCCGCCCCGGGACGCGAGCCCGAGATAGCCTCGCTGTGCGCCCAGTGCAGGGCGAGCCTTCCCTTGTCCCGCTGCTCCTCGGACCCGGACCCGGACCCACACCCACCCCTCCAGCGGCCTGTCCGGTGCGGAGGAAACTGAGGCTCAGGAGGCACAGGGACTGTGGGACCGCCCTGGGCTCTCCCACCCCAACAGCCTCCCGACGGCCCGGCGGGCGGGTCCTGGAGCCTCCCAGGGCCCAACTGCCAAGGGGCGGGAAGGCGGCCGTGCGGGGCCTGTCCCTCTGCCCGGAGGGCCTGCCCCTCTGCCCGGAGGGCCGGGCCTGCTTGGGCCCTGGCGGCCGCTCCGCTGCTGCATGGAGCCTGCCTGCCTGGCTGTACGTCCGCTCCGTTTCCGAGGCACCGAGCGGCCGGCCGGACCCACGATCCTGGGCTCGGGGCGCCTGGTCCCTCCGGCCTCTCTGGCATCCCGGCCCGTGCTGCTTCTCACGTCACTGTCGCGGAAGACGTTGTTGCTCTGACATTTTTAAAGCCTGAGTTTGTAACGAGTTCTTACTTAGACCGGAAATAAAACCTTCTTTTCCTACCGCCTCCTGTTCTGTTTGGCCAGCGCTCCCGCCCACCTGCCCCACTGGGACCCAGGGGTCGGGGCGCCTGTTTGGCCGCTTTAGGCCTCAACGCGCCGCTTCTGACAGCCTCTGGGGCTCGTGTGTGTGCACACGTGTATTGTATGTTATGCGGCTGTATGTGCACCCATGTATATGCCCATCTGCATGCACGTGTGGTATGTGACATGTCCATGTGCATGCAGCATGCGTGCATGTATTTTGGCATGCCTGTGCACGATTGGTGTGCGCATGTGTGTGGTCTGTATGATGCCTGTGCACATATGTGGTCTCTGCGTGTTCACTGGAGACCACAGTGAGGTCCGCAGAGGCCCCTGGGGCACAGACAAGTGGCTGCCGGTCCAGGGGAGGTGGACAGGCGTGTTCTGGGCCAGGGAGGGTGCTGGCTCGGAGCCCGCTGCCCTCATGGGTGGTGAGCTGCAGGGACCCACCACGGTCTCTGCCCCACGTCCTGTCCTGTCCTCCCCTTCACCCCCTTTACACTCGGGGATGGGCCCTGCGGCACTGCGGGTGGGCAAGGCGGGCTTTGGGGAGAGCGAGGCCCTCCTATTGGCCAGGGGCCCGGAAGTCACTCCACCTGTCTGAGCCTCAGTCTCCTCCTGCACAGAAGGGCCTGCAGGCCTGGCTCCGGGCACAGGGAGAGGGTGCACGGGGACAACATGGTGCCTTAGAGGCGTGTTGCCGGGGTTATTACAAACGTGGCCATTGTCACCTCCGCCCAAAGGGACCCCCGCACACTGCTTGCACACCCACTGGGCGAGACCCCGGGGCTGGGCTCAGTCCTGCCAAAGCCCCCCGGGCCTCTGTCCCCAAGTCCCTGTCCACAGACAGGGCCAGTGTTCCGACCAGAGCAGACTGAGGCCCCAGAGGTTGTGTGAGTTGCCTTCTTTGCCCTAACCCTAATGTTCACCCTAGCCCTAACCCTAAACTTACCTCTCACCCTTCCCTCACTGTAACCCTAGCTCCAACACCATAAGCCTACATGAACCCCTCACCCTCATGTTCACCCTAACCCTAACACTAAACCTAACACAGGATCACCCTAGTTTAGCTCTAGCCCTAAACTAACCCTACAACAGCTCCAACCCGAATGCTAGCTCTACCCCTGATCCTAACACTAACCATAAAACATCCTAACCTTAAACCCAACCCTAACAGTTTCAATCTTAACTATAATCATAGCCCTAACCCTAAATCAGGTGCAATCCTAACCCTGGTCCTAGTCCTAACCCTCACCTCCTCACCTTCACGGGCATGGCCTCTGACCTGTGGCTGTGGCCTTCGGGCCCTTGGGGCCAGGCACCTCTTGCCTCGGGCTCCCCCTGGGTCCCAGGATGGCCCAGGTGGGCGGGGCCCCCAGCATAGTCTCCTGGGCCCGCCCTCCCTCCTGTGAGCACCTGCTGCCGCCTCCACCCCAGGGTGGTGGGTGCGTGGGGCTTCCTGCCAGCGCAGGGCTGGGGCACCTCAGGAGCCCTGAGCCCTGTCCCGATTCTGCCTGTGCCTGCCCTGCGGCCCCCAGGGAGGGACGCCTGCGGCGCCGGCACCTGCAGTGCCCCCCCTCCCCACCCCCACGCAGGGTTTGATGGGCACCTGCAGGACTGGCCTCCTGGAGGGCATGGCCTGCCTCGGTGTGGGAGGTCAGGCCCTGGCGGAGACCCAGCACAGGGCGCCTGTAGCCGGGCGCGCAGCCTGGCCCCGACCGGGGAGGGGCGCGGGGAAGGGCGTGCTGAGCCCGGCAGCCCCTCGCCTTCCCAGAGAGCAGGCCAGGCACCCCGCCAGCTCCCAGCCCCACCTCAACACCCGCTGCTGGGCGGCCCTCTTCTGGCACTGTCCGGCCCTGCCCTGCCCCTCCCGGGCCAACGCCTACGGGGACCGGGAGACGGAGGCCCTGGGCGGTGGCTGTGCCAGCCAGGGGCCCCTCATCCGGTCAGAGTCCCCTGGCTGCAGCCACCGGCGCCCCTTCCTCTCTGGCTCTGTCCATGCCAGGAGAGTCCCGGCTGACAGGCCTGCATGCCAGCCTCGTCCCCGGGAGCCGGTGGCTGCAGCCAGACAGCCACGTCCAGCTCAGCGGGGCAGGTGGCCTGGCACATGCTCTCCCCACGGGCCTGTGGGTGTGGGGCAGAAGGCGAGTCCGGGGGCACACTGAGGGGCCCGGGCTGGTCTCCCGGGGGCGCCTGGTCCCTCCCGAGGCGCCCTTGGGGCCAGCTCCCGGCACGGCTGACCCAGCTCTCTCTGGTCTAGGGAGCCGCCGCCTCACCCTCTGCGCCTGACCCGCCCAGGTAGGTCAGCCCAGGCCCAGCTGGCGCACAGGATGGGAGGGACGCAGAGTGCCTGAGGCCGTCCTGGAGGAGGTGTCACTATGGGTGGACGTGTGGGCTCGGGAGGGCCCCCGAGACCTGGAGTAGGCGGTCACCCGGGACAGCCCAGGGGCCTGGACCGAGTAGTGTCTGCGTGGCAGGAGCGGGGTGCAGGGACCTGGGAGGGAGTGGCCGGGAGGGGTGGTCGGGGGGTTAGGGTAGAGGGTGGGTGGCATGCAGGGGCCAAAGACAGAGGGTATGGTCATTGGGCTGCAGTGGGCACTGGGGGTGAAGGGGCGGGAAGTCAGGGAGGGACATGGCCCTGGAGGAGTTGGGGGGGGGGCTCTGGGAGCCCTTGGGGGGCGCCTTAGCTCTCAGCCCGGGACTCACAGCCCGTCCCTGCAGGAGGCACGGCGCCCGGCGCCCGCTTGCGTGACCGTCCCCGCCAGCCCTCCCTCCACCAAGCAGCTGCACTACCTGGGCCTGGAGCTCCCTGAGGCGGGCGCGGGCCTGCGAGGTGGGTCGCCACGGGCCACGGCCTAACCTGGCACTGGGCCCTCCTGTGAGCTGGGCTCCCGCCCCGCCCCCTCCCCGCTCAGGTCCTGCTGGGGGGAGGGCGTGGTGGGACCCCAGCCCCGCACCCCTCCCACCAAGGCCCCTGGGGGAGTGGCTTCTGGACCCGGGCCGGCTCACCGGGCCGCTTCCAGGGGCCGCTTCCTCAGGCTACAGATCGACGCGGCGGCCTGGAGGGCGGGGGCCCAGCACGCACAGGCCCGCGAGCACGGCCGGCCCAGCTGGCGCCCAGGAGGAAGGGGGCCCCGCGCTGAGCGGCGTTGCCAGGACGGCGTGGCCCGTGGTGAGCAGTGGCCACGGGGCCCAGCCCAGAGGTCTGCTCCGGGGCTCCCGCCTGCTGGCCCCAGGGGGACATGGCTGGTGCCGGGCTCCGGGGCTGCCTGCCCTTCTCCCGAGCGATGAGTGAAGCCACGTCCCGCCCAGGCCCCGCCAGCCCAGCACCCTGGGCACTGCCGCCCCGCACTCGGGGCGGTGCCTCTGGAGGAAGACGGGCAGCCGCGGGCCAGGGCAGAGGGGGGTCTGGGCACCAGGAGGGCGGCTGCCGTGTGGGCAGGAGACACGAGTGTGGACGACCACTGACACATGAACCCAGGGGACAGAAACTATTCAAACAACGACCCAGAAGCCTGTTCACAGCAGCGTGAGGTGCCTGGTTCTCAGGAGTGTGTCCGGGGAGAGCAGAGAGGGCCCGAGCAGCGCCCACGGCCGGAGCCCAGTGTTGCTAGGACGCCAGTACCAGCCCGAGGTCAAGGCCATCCTGAAGCCCAGAAGCCGATTCCAAACGCACGTGGAAAAGCGAGTTCCCTCGTGGCCGGGGCAGACGGATGCGCTCCTTCCGCGTCCGGCTGGCTGATCAGCGCGGAGCACAGTGGGCAAGACTGCGGCCCTCCCCCAGCTTCTGAGAGACGCCCGCCCGCCCGGCCACAGGGAGGGCTCCCTGACAGGTGGGGCGTCGGTTCAGATGAAGCTACAGTGACAGAAGAGCGTGGCCGCCCTGGCCGGTTAGGTCAGTGGTCAGAGCGCTGGCCTGCGAACCTAAGGATGGTGGGCTTGATTCTGGTCAAGGGCGAACACCCCAGTCGGGATGCATGTGGATGTTCCTCCTGAAAATGTCCTCGGTGAGGATTAAAGGAAGAGGGATGCCCTCCAGGGGGCTCTGCCTGTGCTGTGGCGGCCACGGGGGCACCAGGACTGTGACCTCCTCCAGTGCTGGCTCACACCGACCAGAGGGACCAACCGCCACCGAAACTGGGCCCCGGCCGGCACCCCTTCCCACTGGCCCGGGGTGCCCGGCCAGAGGCTCCCGCCCACGTCACTGTCCAGCGTGACGCACACCCACCCACTCACAGCGAGCGCGTGACCTCCAGTGGCAGCCGGGATGGGACACCAGACCAGGCACTTCCGGAGACGGGGCCAGTGTGCACGTGCGGGCGCGCACACACACACGCACACACACACACACACACACACACTACCAGCATCATCTAAGGCACAGAGGCACACACCTGTACACACGCGCATGCACATACATGCACTGCCAGCATCTAAGGCAAGAGGCCCACACCCGCACACATGCGCACACCCAAACCGCACACCGGTGGCTTAAATTTTATTTCTTTCCTGTTGGCGGGAAACCAAGAGGAGCAGACTGGTGTCTGGAAAGCCACCACCCCGCTCGGCAGGAAGAGGCCCCCCCCCCCCCCCCCCCGTGGGGCTCCCTCCTCAGCCCAATCACCCCCAGGACCACCCCCAAACCCCACACGCTGGGGCTGGGCTCAGTAGCTGAACGTGGGGGTCACAAGCCAAGTGGCGAGCTACAGGAGTGTGGGGGGTGCTGGGGGGCCCCACGTCCCGGGACAACACACGCTGGAGGCGGTCTGCGCGCTCCCGCCCACCTCAGCATCTCCTCCTGGAGCAGGAACCACCACCCACCCGGTCGGAAGACAAGCTGTCAGCAACTCAGGTAAACTGAGTCCCACGTCCCCTCTGCTCACCTCCATGTCCCAGGCCCAGACTGGTCCCAGGCCTCTTACTGGCCGGCACAGGGCACGGCTCTGGGCCCCTGGCACTGACCTCGGCACAGCCCCAGCAGGAAGGGGCCCCTCCTGGCACCCCGTCCCCACGGACACTAGCGCGCTGCCTGGGTTCCTCCAACAAGGCAGAGCTTCCTCCAGGGCCAACGGGGAAGGTGCCCCTAGACCACCCGAGGCCCCTCCCCCGGGTGCCCGCAGGCTGAGAACACCTCCCTCCTCTCAGGCACCAGGGAGGACGGCGTGGGGGCGGGATGGGAGGGGGGCCTCCCAGCTGGCAGTGCCGGAGCCACGGTGGGGGAGGCCGAGCGGCAAACACAGTGAGAGACGGGCAGCGGGTCACGGAGAATCAAGTACCATCATTGCCACGGCTTCCCACCGGCCCCCGTGGAGGGTCAGGGCCCCGCAGTGACGCTGCAGCAAATCAGCACTCAGTGCGGGGCAGCAGCCTGCTGGTCCCGGGTCCCGCTCACGCGGACGCCCCCGAGGGTGGGCCACGCCGGCCGGTCCTCAGAGCTCGTTGTGGCGCGCCCGGGAGATGCGGCCCGACAGGTCCTGCAGGTGCTTCTTCACCTGCGGAGCGGAGCACGGAGAGCGGCGGTGAGCGGGCAGGGGACGGGCGGAGCGGGCAGGGGACGGGCGGAGCGGGCAGGGGACGGGCGGAGCGGGCAGGGGACGGGCGGAGTGCCATGCTGCCGTCACCTCCCCGTCTCCTCCCAGAGGTGCCAGAGTAAGTCATCATGCCAGCCCGCAGCCCCCCTCCCCGGTGGGTGCCCCCTTCCCCCCTGTGTAGGTGCCCCCCTTCCCCCCTGTGTAGGTGCCCGCAGCCCCCCTCCCCGGTGGGTGCCCACAGCCCCGCCAGGTCCCAGCCTCGCAGCCCTTCCCCACCTCCCGTCCCTCCAGGCAGCGCCCCCGCAGGAGCAGGCTGCGGGTCCGACCCTCGAGCCCCCTCCCCGGGCAGAGGAAGCGGGGGCTCGGAGGGTGGGCCGGCACCTTGTAGCCCAGCTCCTTGGTCTTCTCCTCCAGCATGGCGTAGCGCTCCTTGTTCCGGCTCACGTGCTCGTGGTCGCCAAACCGCTCCACGTGCCGCAGCTTCTGGTGCGAGATCTCCAGCTGCTTCTGGTAGTGGTTGTGCTTCTCGATCTTCACCTCAAAGTGCTTCAGCTCCTCCTGCAACGGCCCCGCACTGAGTCCCCGCCTCCGGCAGCCGCAGCCTACCACCCCCGTCCCCTCCACCCTCTCCGACCCCCTCCGTTCCCCCATCCCCCTCCCCCCGCCCCCCATCCCCCTCCGTCCCCCCATCCCCCGTCCCCCTCCGCCCCCGTCCCCCCATCCCCCCCGCCCTCCCATCCCCCTCTGTCCCCTCCACCCTCTCCGTCCCCCTCCGTTCCCCCATCCCTCCCGCCCCCCATCCCCCTCCGTCCCCCCATGCCCCTGCAGCCCGCGCACACAGGGAGGCCGCCACACGGGAGCGGAGGGGAATGGGGGGAGGGGGACGGAGGGAAACGGGGGAGGGGGACGGAGGGGAACGGGGGAGGGGGATGGAGGGGGATGGGGAGGACAGCGGGGGATGGGGGGACGGAGGGGGACAGAGGGACAAAAGGGGATGGGGGAGGGGGACGGAAAGGGATAGGGGGGACACACGGGGACGGAGGGGGACAGAGGGGGACAGAGGGACAAAAGGGGATGGGGGAGGGGGACGGAAAGGGATAGGGGGGACACAGGGGGACGGAGGGGGAGGGGGAGGGGGAGGACAGTGGGGGATGGAGGGGGACAGAAAGGGATAGGGGGGACACGGGGACAGAGGGGGACAGAGGGGATGGAGGGGAATGGAGGGGGCCGGGGGGGGACGGAGGGGGACAGAGGGGAATGGAGGGGGCCGGGGGGGACAGGCAGGAGCAGCCCTGGGAGGCCCACAGCTGCAGTCAGAGATAGCGAGGCCACAGCCCCTCCCCAGCCGCCGGAGACGCGGACAGGCAGCCGGGCCGCTTACCCGGAAGGCCTCCAGCTCCTTCTCGGAGAAGTTGGCGGACCGGGCCAGGTCCCACAGGTCGATCACCCGCGGCTCCTCGAACTCTGTGGGGAGCAGGGCCGCTCAGACACCGCACGCGGCATGGCCGCCAGCACAGAGCGAGCGTGCAGGGGGCGTGGGACACACAGGCGCTGTGAGCACGAGTGCGCAGCTTCCCCGGGAAGCACCGCGGGCCCTCCCACACGGGCTCAGCCACTGTGAGCAGGGGGCTCAGAAGGAAGTGGGTGTAAATGGCCACCACGTGGAGCTGCATGTCACTGCGGTGTAACCAGCTGTCCCGACTGAGACATGGGCCAAGGAACCACGAATGTGCACCTTTCAGAGAACTTGCCGGAGTGCCTGCCCGTGGGCCCCCCCCGGCCCCCCCCCGGCCCCCCCCCCCCCCCCCGCTCACCGGCCTCGGCGCCGTAGCCCTGGTGGCTGACCCTCCGCAGCCGGTCGTAGCCCTGGCTGATGCGCCGCAGCCGGTCCTTGAGGTCGGCGTGCCGGCTGTGCAGCGCCTCCTCCTGCGGGCCGCGCATGTCCGAGGGGCTGAGGGCGTTCTCCTGCATCTCTGGGGGACAGCGGGGCGGTGACGGGAGGCCACGGCTGTCCCCGAGAGCCCGCCCCTCCCTCTGGACCGCCAGGCCCGGCTCCCAACCATCCACCAGAGGCCACGGCGCCAAACGGTGTTTGTGGGAGAGGCCGGCGGAGACTGGTCACCGGGTGCTCCATCGCCAGTCCCCGCACCCGCCACAGGCACCGCAGCGAGCAGGGCGCCCGGTGGGGGAGGTGGGTGGGGCCGGGCGGCAGACACACCTTCGGTCCTGCTCAGCACCTCCAGCAGGATGTTGTACTCCTGCACCTTCTCCCGGTGGTGCTGGAACTCCCGCCACAGCTTGTCCAGCTCGTCCCGGGAGAACTTGCCGGAGGTCTTCGCCTGGGGGGGGGGGGGGCCTGCGTGAGCACCGCCTGGCCCCCCCCCCCCCCCGGAAGCGGCAGGCGCGGGCGGGTGGCCGTACCTTGTGCCACAGCTTCTCCAGCCGGGGGTCCTCCAGGCTGTCCGGCTCGGGGCCCTCGGAGAGGGAGTTGCTGCGGAGCTCCCGGGCGTCCTTCCGGCCGTCCAGCCGGTACTTGGCCAGGATGACTAGGAGGGCAGCGGGCACCCGTCAGCTGGCAGACCCGCCCTCCCTTTCCCAGGTCCCTCCCTCCCTGGTTTCCCATGGGACAAGGGTCATCTCCCAGCCCCACTGCAGCTGTTTCTGGGATGGGAGATGTGCCGGGAACGCGGGGGGGGGGGGGGGGGGGCGCGCCCTAACCAGGGCCCGTTTGGAGGGAGGGGTTCCACAGGAGAAACTTCGGTGTCAGCACCCCAATAGCAGCCGCACCCATGGGAAGCCAGGCCCCAGCCGCTACTTCCCTCTTCCCTCCACTAGGCTGCTTCTGCTACTTCCCTCTTCCCTCTGCTACTTCCCTCTTCCCCCCACTAGGCTGCTTCTGGGGGCTGTCAGCAACCTGGATCCCAGCACCGCGTGGGGCAGGGCTCTGGGACAAGCCCCCTCTGGTCGGCCCTGGGACTCAGAGCCCCCCCCTGCCCTTCAGCCCTCCCCCCCTTCCCTAGAGACCGGCATGGGCTTCCCTCCCCTTTCAGACTCTCCCCAGCCAGCCAGCGAGGGGCATGTCGGCCCTTCCCCTCCACACCAGCGCCTCGAGGGCTGTGCCTGCCTGCTCTCCGCTCAGCCTGGGCCTCAGAACTCCCTCACCTGGAAGCCAGACCCCGGGGCTCGATGTGAGCTGGGGGGTGTCCTGAGGTCAGACCTGCCCAGCCCTCTCCCTAAGCCGCAGAAGGCCCCCCACTGAGGCCCTGGCCGGTGGGCCAGCTCCTCAGGCCGTGTCACCGAGATCCTATGCCATCGGCGCCACTAACACTTGGGCCCGGAAAAGCTGCCCACGGCCCACCGTCCCGCCCACACGCCGCCCAGGGCTGGGGGGGAGGCACCGGGCTGGGGGGGGGGGCGGGTAGGCACCGGGCTGGGGGGGGAGGCACCAGGCTGGGCGGGGAGCCCCGGGCTGGGGGGGAGGCACCGGGCTGGGGGGGGGGAGGCACCAGGCTGGGGGGGAGCCCCGGGCTGGGGGGGAGGCACCGGGCTGGGGGGGAGCACCGGGCTGAGGGGGAGGCACCGGGCTGGGGGGGGGGGAGCCCCGGGCTGGGGGGGAGGCACCGGGCTGGGGGGGAGGCACCGGGCTGGGGGGGGGGAGCCCCGGGCTGGGGGGGAGGCACCGGGCTGGGGGGGAGGCACCAGGCTGGGTGGGGGAGCCCCGGGCTGAGGGGGAGGCACCGTTGAGGCTGCGGATCAGTTTCGCTTCCATCTCCCCATCCTCGTCCAAGCCCTCGGCCTTCAGCTTCTTCCAGGCGAGCTCCTCCCGCTCCTGGATCTTCAGGTCGGCGTGCAGCTCCGACAGGTCCAGGGGGGAGAGCTGCAGCTGCGGGAAGCAGGGGCACCTGACACGGCTGCCGGGCAGCCGGAGACGGACAGGGCGACCCCGACACCGGAAGGCCAGCAGCAGAGTCCGGTGCCAGCCTTCAAAGCCGCACCGCGCCTGCAGGACTTCGAAGGGCCCTGCGCCCCATGGCGTGAGGCTACCGGCTTCTCTGAACGTCTACAGCTCGGCACGGTCGCCACCCAGGACCCCAGGGAGCCACGACCGCCAGGGCCTGAGCTGCGGGCACAGGACGCCCACCGCCCCCACTCCCTGGGACCTTTAGGATCTGTAAGTCAATGCCTCCTGGGAAAAGAGCCGGCTAACAGAAGCCAGAGGCAAAGCACAAAGTCCAAGGTTAAGCAGCAGAGGGGGCGACCCACACGCGGCAAAGCCCTGGGCAGAGACCGGGGGATGTCTGGTGGTGGCGATGGCCCCAGGCCCCTCCATTTCCAGCTCCGGACGTGACCTAACTGCGCCTTCTGCCTGTCAGCACATCCCGGCAGATTAAAGAAACTGCTGGCCCTAGCGGGTGGATTCTGGTGCAGGTGGCCCCGCCCTGGTTGGGGCGCATGGGCGTATGTACACAGGAGGCAGCCGGTCAGTGCGGCGCTCACACGCGATGTCTCCCCGCAGCTCTGGTCTCTGGCGAAGCGGAGCGGGGTGCTCAAGGCGGCGGGCGGGGCGAGGTCACCGCTGCGCTGGCCCCGTGGGGAGCAGGGGCCCCGGAGGCCTCCAGCACCCCCCTTTCCGGATGGTGGCTGAGGAAGGAGCCTCAGGGACAGAGCAGGCCCCCCCTCGGGGACCCTCCCGGAGCCCCTCCCGGAGCAGAGGGAGGAGGCGCCAGGGGAGGGGAGGAGGCCCAGGGCGCCGCAGGGGCGCTCCCACCATCTCCCTCGCGCCCGGAGGCCAAGCGCTTCACCAGTTTCAACCGCCGAGTGGGGACGAGCACCCGGCGAGACCGGGCTCCCAGACCCTGTCCCTGGGCGCTCCTCCGCGGCACCAGCGCCGGCGACCCGAGCCCGGAGGGCGGCGCCGCCCGCCCCGGCTCACGGGCCCCGCAGCACCCCGAGGCCCCCACCCCCCCGGGCGCCCAGGCCGCCCGCCCGCGGCACCCCGAGGCCCCCCGCCCCCGGAGGGGCCGGACAGCGCCGGGGCCCAGGCCGCAGCGGCGGGCGGGGAGCAGCACGCGCAGCCCCGGGCCCGCACCCCACGCGGGCGCCGCCGCTCACCCGCCGGGCCTTGTCCCACAGCTGGTTCAGCTTCTCCATGCGGAACTCCGCCGCCGGCTCGCGCTGCGAGGGCCGCTCGGGCTCGTTCTTCTCCCGCGAGTACTTGCCGCCGTGGGCCGCCGCCGGCCAGGGCGCGAGCAGCGGCGGCAGCAACAGCAGCAGCAGCGGCGGCGCCAGGAGCCCGCGCAGCCCGGGTCCCTGCCCCCGCGACGCCATCTTTCTCCTCTGGTCCGGGAGACCCGGCGCCTCTTCCTAGCGGTCCCGCCAGGCCCCGCCCTGCCGCGCCGCCTCCTGGGAGTTGTAGTCCTTCTCCCCGCGACCAGCCCAGGCGAGACCGTCGGCGAACTACAAAACCCAGGAAACCCTGCGGCGGCACGCGAGCGTTTCCCAGGCAACCACGCCGCGGCCTCGTGATGCCGAGGGCCCAGACTACTGCCAAATGCGCTAGGGCAGTGGTGGGCAAACTGCGGCTCTTTGGCCCTTGAGTTTTTAGCAAAGGCCAGCATAGGAGTACCCTAATTAAGTTAATAACAATGTACTGTGAACGAAAGGAGCCACATGCTAACCTGACCAGCTCAGGGGAGGCCTGCGTGGCAGTCTTGCAAACTCAGAGACCTAAAATAACCACAAAAGATGGTTTAAAATTAAATATCTAACTACAAACAGGTTATAGTGGGCAGTCATGTCCTAGGCTAATATTTTCCCTGACAAAGATCAACTTGGATCTTCTTTACTGAGCCCGTTTGCCTTCCGGCCTCTAAGATAGCATATCTGTGAGATGTCTGGGTAACTTGTAACTTCCCTTTTTCTGGAGCCCCTGAGCGCCAGGACAGATGCCTCAAATTCCTTCTTTATCATGTTAATTGTTCCCGCACTCACCTAAGTACCCATCCATCATTTCACTTTTTATCCAGTCCTACGGAAAGCTGAATCTTGCACATAGATTTCGAACCCAACCACTTTGCTTTCTCCCACCTCTTTAATCCATCACCAATGGATTTCATGTAATCCACCTACATCCCTCCTTTGATTGCAGTGTATAAATAGAAATGTAACCCTCCGTTCTTCAAGGCATTATCTCAATCCGTTGAGGTTCTGCTTCCCGGCATCTGTCAACAGTTTGGCTCAAATAAACTCACAAAAATTCTTTACAGGTTTCAATCGTTTTTTCGTTAACAGTACCTACCTATATAGTTTAAGTTAAAAGAAATGTGGCTCTCAAAAGAAATTTCAGTCGTTAAACTGTTGATATTTGGCTCTGTTGACTAATGAGTTTGCCGACCACTGTACTAGGACTTCGTAGGGGGCGGGGGGGGGGTAAGGGGAGGGGGTTGGTAGAGAGAGACCGGCTGCCCAGACCCCGGGAGTGGAGTGACGGCAGGCCGCTTTCCTCTCCACACCGTAGAAATCGGGCCGTGCCTTCCTGTTGCGGAGACTGTGACATCGGGTGTTGAGTGTCATCACGTGCCCCAGGTTCGGTGGGGCGCGCCCTCTACCTTTGATCTCGGCGTTTCTCAGTGAGACTGCTCAGGTGGCCGTGGTGGGCTTCAACCTCCGCACCCGTGGCCTGTGTGTGCGTGTGTGTGTGTGTGTGTGTGTGTGTGTGTGATTGCCTTTGCATTCCTTGTACACGTTGAGGTCAGCATTTCCCTCCCGGGAGCTCTGGGTTGGGATTTGGGCAGAAGTTTCTATGATCCTGTAAACCAACCTGGGAAGAGCTATCACGCCAGTCTATAGTCTTCTGGCCCCCGCATGGTCTCTATTCGCTGGGGCCTCTCTCTGCCTCTGACCCATTTTCTGCTTTCCTGGCAGCGCCCTGCACCTCACTCACCCCTGACTTGTGGTTGATAGATAGATCTTCCCTTCTCCAATTGACGGAGGGAGGTAAACTCCACCTGCAGCCAGACATTCCTGAGCACTGAACCACCAACCAGCACCTGCCAAATACCCTAAGCCCCCTTCCTAAGTCCTTAGGTCCCTAATCATGGGCCTTACATGAAGCGACCAATCAGCGTGTGCCGAGTGCCCTAAGTCCCGTCCCCCCTCTTTCCTCCCCTTAAAAAGGACATGAACCTGGCCCTCTCTCTCCCTCCCTCTCTCTCTCTCTGGAAGCAGCTGGCAGGGGTGCTCTTCTCTCCAATAAAGCCGGTGTCCTGGCACCTGGTCTCCGGCCCCTCTGTCATCTCTCAGGGGCTGTAGTAACGTCTGCCAGGAAAGTTACTTTCCACCATAGCTGCTGACCTACAGGGTGAAAGCTGATTTCGAACCCAACCACTTTGCCCACCTCCCTGCTCGTGACCATGGTCTCTCAGACTCCCCGGGGCCGGCGCACACAGAGGCTGTGAACAGAGTGTGTCCTTGCGGCTCCCCCCTCCCGCACACCCAGGCTGACGGGAGTGGAAGGCTGCCTGCCCGGGCGTCCTGTGTCCCTGCGCCTCAGAGCGCCGGCTTTCAGCACCTCCCCATTAACTCGGACCCGGTCCCCAGGCTTAGGGGAGAGGCTCTTATCAGATTAACAGCTAAGACATCTGAAGAACAGAGACTGAGTTTCAGCTCTGGCCAGCTTGGCTCAGAGGAGACAGCGTCAGCCTGTGGACTGAACGGTCCCGGGTTTGACTCGGGTCAAGGGCACGCACTTTGGTTGCAGGCTCCTCCCGGGCCGGGCCCTGGCCAGACCAGACCTCCTGCAGGAGGCAGCCAATCGAGGTTTCTCTCTGGCTTTCCTTCTCTCTAAAAATCAATGGGAAAATATCCTGGGGTGAGGATTAAAAAAGAGAGAGAGATTGAGTTTTATGGAATGCTCCTTCTACGTCACATGTACGGACCTTTTTAACATGTTAATGTGTGTGTCCCCTTTCCGGTCTCTGAACTGGAGGACTGTCCCTCGTCTGCCGGCCCTGCCCCCGGGTGAGCCTTGGGTGTGGGGCGGGTGTGAGGAGGAGCAGGGCCATGCGCTCAGCTCCCTGTGGCTCTGCAGCCGCGGTGCAGCCTGGGGTGAGTTAGCACCTCAGCCTCGCACAGGGACTGAGGTGCGGAGGGGGCCTGGGCGGGGGGAGGGCCGTTCCGCCCCTCAGCCTGGGCACAGGGGCCGCGGCTCAGGGCCGGGCGGCTCTGCCCGCGCCTGCAGGTGGTGAGCGCTGGGGGAGGGGTGGGTCCGGTGGCCGTGTGGCTGGGACGTCAGTAGGTCCAAAGACAGGAACGCACAGCCCCAGGCAGGGCTGCTAGAGAAACCCTTCCCCAAGTGGGTGGGCCTCCTGACTGGAATGTGCCCTTGGAGTGACCGTGAGTCGGAACCTGCCGGGTGGCCCGGGAAGTGCGGGGCGGGTGGGGCCGCAGTGCCGGCCTCAGTGCTGGGGCGCGGCCCGCACCTGCCCTGGGGCAGCTGGAACTCTGGGTCCCGGGCGCTCCTCCGGCACAATAACAATGAAGGGATCTCTCTCCCTCTTCCCTTCCCCTCGGAGATCTGCGTGTGCATGTGTGTGTGTGTGTGTGTGTGTGTGTGTGTGTAGGAAAGAATCCCTCCCACGTGCCTGCCTCATGCCCGTTCTTCGGGTTCAGGCGCTCTTGCCCTGAGGCCCACACCCGGGCTGAGAGGGTGGCTCAGGGCTCCGAGCCCACACCGCGAAGCACCTCTGTGACCGATTCTTTTATATAGACACAAAGATCTCCGAGAGGAAGGGAGAGGGAGAGAGAGAACTGTGGATCGGCTGCCTCCTGCACGACCCACACCACGACCCACCCTGGAATAGAACTGCATGTGCCCTTGACTAGAATAGAACCCGGGACTTTAAGCCTGCAGGCCGATGCGCTATTCACTGAGCCACACCGGCCAGGACTGAGCTAATTATTTTTAAAAAATATATTTTATTGATTTTTTTTAGAGAGGAAGGGAGAGGGAGAGAGAGCTAGAAAACAACGATGAGAGAGAAACATGGATCAGCTGCCTCCTGCACACCCCCTACTAGGGATGTGCCTGCAATCAAGGTACATGCCCTTGACCAGAATCGAACCTGGCACCTTTCAGACCACAGACCGACACTCTTATCCACTGAGCCACACAGGTTTCAGCTGAGCTAATTCTTGATTTGCAGCCAAAGAGCAGATGGAGGTGCCAAAGTGTGTAGACGGGCGTCTCGGGCCACCTCCTGCTCTCCGGGTCCCCCTGGCTGGCCTGGCTCCCGGGATGCTGGCCGTTCAGCCAGCCACCGGCAGCACACTTCCCGGGACAGGCCCGGCCGAGGGGCCTCCGGCTGATGGTGGGTGGGGCCCAGCACAGTCCTGGGAGACATGGCCCGAGGGAAGCAGGCTGGCTGCTGGGGCCTGGCAGCAGCGGGTGGGGCACCGGGAGCCGGCCCATGTGCAGGTCCCGGAGCCGCCTCTTCCCTGGCCCCGGCCCAGGGGTGACGGCCCCCCTGGGGTCAGGACCGGCTGTCCCTACCTCGCTTCTCTGAGGCCTGGGTGCCCGGCCCGCTGTGTGGACGGAGGCCTCTCCCTCCTGAGCTGGGCCGCCCGGAGCCTGGAGCCTGGAGCCGAGGGACTCGCTGCCAGGGCTGGCAGGCCGCTGGACGGGCACTGCCGGGGCTTGGGGCTCGGGACCCCCCCACTGTGGCTGCACCCCGTGGGCTCTCAGGGCCTCTGCCCGCAGCGTGACGAGTCACGAGCTGCGTGGGGATGTGGCTTTGACGAGACGAGAGGCCCTCCAGGTCCCCCGGTTCTGTGTGCCCGCCGGGCACTGGGGAGCCCCGCTCGGCGGCACATATGGGGCGGCAGCCCAGGCCCACCCCGGGGGCTCAGGCGCTCAGCGGCCCTGCCCGGACTCATGGTCATAGAGTGAGGAGGGCCCGGGACAGGAGCCCCCGCCGGCAGGCAGCTCGGGGCGGCCTCAGGGAGGCCGGGCGGGGAGGAAGGCCGCCCAGCGGTGTGGGCTGCCTTCCACCTGAGCCCCCGCGGCCGCCAGGACCCTCGCGCCCAGAGGGCCCCCTCCGTCTGTGCAGGAAAGGCTGCTGGTCCCGGGAAGGCAGCAGGAGGTCGGAGCTGGCGGGCAAGGCCTGTGCCACCGGCCACTTCAGAGTCTCCTCCACCAGCCAGGGAGGAAGTGAGCCGTGCCGGGCTCCCATGGCAATGCCGGCAGGCAGAACTCTCCCGGCTGGCTGGTCCCAGGAGGGTGGCTGTGGCCGGGCTGTGTCCTGCGGCGTGATGCCCAGGAACCTGGGTTTGGACTGGGGGACGAGCAGGCACGGTACCCGGCG